TGTATAATGTATTGAGGATATCAGTCTGTTGCTAGGGAAATGATGACTATAATGAGATGTTACACAGTCTACATTTTGACTGCATTGCAGGATCAAAGATGAGGCTGTGGAAATGAAGATCTTTTACTGACATGACAAACACGTAAGTAGCGTCCTATTTACACTTATGTATATCTTCCAGGATTAGTAAAAAGAGATGAGCGCATACTACAAAAAGGTAAATATCACACGGTATTTTTATGTTGCATATTCCCATTTGGTCTGTGATATTTAATTGGAGAATATCTAGTGTATTTTCAGTGTAAATATAGGCATAAAATATGTACAGATCCATAATGATCCATAGGACTTTACAAACGACTACAAGACACCCAATTACACTAAAGCCTAAAGTAATGCCATATTTATTACCACATGGATATTCAGAAGCACACATTAGACTGCATATTAAATCTGATAAAGTATATCAGCCCTGCCTGGCGATATAATGTATGTTTCAGATGTATCCCACAGTGTCTCTTGAAAATCCTGTTCCAACCACATTGAAATTCAGTGTGTTGCAACGGTCACGAGCACTACCTGCAGATGCTGTATGTGAGGGAGGGCAATGTGCAGGAGTGACACTTTTTTCATGGCAGTACAGTCAGATTGACTATTTCCACATTCTGTTGCATCTTGCAATCAAATGTGTGTTTTGATAAAGTGCATGCCATCCTTGCTGCGGAGAAATCATTAGCCTGAAAAAGATTTCAAAATACAATGGCATGTTGTATGGGTTATGGCTGAACTTCTTAAAATGTTAAGAGAATTCTAAGTTTGCCAAATCTAATTTAGTAGTCACATTTCACAAAGGATATGGTTTTCAGGCTACCTGTGTAAAACTGCAAGCTTAACCGTCCCAACCCCTCCCTCCCCAAATCTACCCATAGTCTTGGTCTTTTAAATTTGCCTGTAACTATAAATACCATTCCACCAAAAAACTAGCATGGCCTTTTTCAGGAGTAGTTACTGGATTCCCACCAGTGACAGCAGTCCCAGGAAGCTCCTGAGTAGTTCCTGACCCCAGTGACTCATCTATGTCCTGTTCCACTGATAGAGAGAAATATTAAAGCAGCAAATAGATATTGTTACTGTACTTAAGTTTTAAACTTTCACAGTATGTGTTCTTACACCAATGGCCAGCTAAACCACTGAACTGAAAAGAACGTGGACAACAGAAACAATTTTACAGGCAAGTGAGTCAACTCGACTAGTAGGAAACACAGTGAAACTCCACTGAAAATGAATAATAAAACATTCTCACATCAAAGACATGGATAATACACTGGCTAGATACTTGCTATTTGAGGTCCCAAGTAATAACCAAACTCTATTAAGACAAGTGCATGGTTTTGCTGATATGCACGTTGCAATACTGAATTTCTTTGCACAATCACACCTGTGTTCTTTTTTAGTGAAAAAAGGGACATACAAATGGAAGCATGCTAGTAATGAAGTGGATGTCAGCATGCTACATTGTAAAATAATCTTATTTTCTCCTTTGCTGCCTTGGAAGCCACGATTTATGTGTTCATACATAAAAACTGCTTCTACATATCTGTTTGCAATACCTATGTTTGGTGAACACAGTGAGACTTAATTTACATGCTAATGCAACAAAACAGATGCAGAATAGATCAACTCACCTACTAACACATGCATTATTTGGGCCACCCTCATACCGACTGAATAACAGGTAGCTTTAGACCCTGATACTGGTTTGCAGAGCTGCTCAAGATTTGATCTCCCTACAAATATCTCCCATCCATCTCCAAGATGATATGTCACTATTTCCTATCAATTACTGCTGAGTTACTTTTATTTATTTCATCTCTCATCCTTTTGTATGTTAAAAATTGATTAATTATTCAGGATCAAAATTTTTTTTCATGTAAGTAGATCTAAGCATTAACAGATTAACCATTGATATGATACGTTTATTATTTAACAAATACAAAACACTATTATCACCTCTATGTCTCTGCTAGTGCAAGAAGTTACTGTGGATTTTTTGCAAACAATTTTATCTCAGACATCTTGGGAGCACTCAAGCGGATCTACTTTGGTCAAGCCTGTATCAGGCTATCACCTATTACACTACACTCATGGATCAGCACCAGAGAATTTCTTAATAGCAAATAGGATTGAAAATGTATACTGATGGCTGATTTGCTAAAAGCTTACTTCAGAACTCATAAGCAAGTCATCAGTGGCATTGTTCTTTTTATAAACACTGGTTTCTGGGTACTGAAGGATGTGTTGCCTGAAAATACCAAAGGACCATTTATATACACACATCCTGAGTTGACAAGTTATCCTACCATCTGTCCTAAAACATCAGCAAGCTCCAAGCCATAATGTAAGAATCAATGCAAAAGGGTAGAGGGTGAAGTCCTCCTGCTTTCAGAAGACAGGGATGTTGTATGGAAGGTCGTGGTGAACTTTTGGCTTAAAGTAATACTTTGGTGAAATAATGGTATGTCTTTTAATAGATGCTTTTTTGAAGCACATGGACATCATCAATGGAAATTAGCAGAAGAAAGAAATGCCAATGTAGCTGTATAATTCTAGTTTTATAGTCTTTGTGTTTCAAATGGATGCAGAATCTAAACCCTGCAAGTGCAATGCTTGCAAACATAGTCACAGGCTTTATTACAGGCAATAAGAACATGAGTACAGAGAGTATTTTTTGAAAGGACTGGGCTGGCAGGGTGAAGGAAGCACTGAAAACATACAACTAAAAAGACAGTAAAACAAACAAAAAAAGCACCAACCACCAAAAACACACCACCAAAGCCAAACCTTTAAGGAATATTCTATTAAGATGATAGTCCAGACCTAACTTTGTTGAGTTTGTATAGCTTTTGGAGAGATCTTTTTAAGATAATCCTGGATTAAACAAACATTTAAATGTTTTACCTATCATGAGTATACTGCATGAATATACTGCAACAGAAGTCAGAGTGGCAGGCTTACTGAAAAAGATAACTAGCAAAGGGAAAAATAATCCAGATGAAGTCTGAAACTGCCATCAGTGTCCCTGTTACATGATGCAATTATACAGAAGTAAAGGTGTGACTATAACCGAGCTAACTCTTTTGTAATTGCTTAGGTAATAATAGTACTCAAGATACAGTGCTGTGATTTGGCATAGACTAACCACACATTTACATAAAGTAAGGCCTGCTTATAGATGCCACAGAAATAACCCAAATAAAAAGAGAAAGCAGAGTTTAAGTGATAAAGAAACATTAAGGAACATAAACAGCCTTTTACTCTATTAAAATTAATAGCGCTATTTTCCATCACAAAGAGATATGTTTCAAAAACGAGCAACAGCCTCCACAGTTGTTTCAAAAACAAAAGAAAACAAGAGGAGAAATACAAAGAAACAGGTACAAAATAGAGAAGAAAGGCTGAAATGAATTTTATTTCACAACACAAGAATTAAGGAGGAAAGTGTACTGAAATAAAGAAAAGCACTGAAGGGAAATAAGGAAAACTAACACTTTAGTGTACTGTAATTACTTATTCTACTATTGCCTTTTTCTGTGACATTTTATTGATGATGTTTCATGGATCATCAATAAAGTAACACCATAAAAAGCCCTAGATTCTTGTTTCCTTCTGGTATTTGTGCTAGAGATGGACAGTAACTAGTCCATGACAAAGGGGCAGCCAGTTCAGCTGGAAGACTTGATGCAAGAGCAAGGGAGGGGGGACAGGGAATACTTTAGAAAAGGTCAGTAATAATGTGTTAACTTTGAAAGGAACACCAAGTGAAACAAATTAATAAATAATTAAGGGTAGCAGTATTTTCAAAGCAAATGGACTACTTCTGTTACGAAGAAGATAAGGCATTTGACAGCTAATAAGATAGTGAGGGATTCAGCTTCCAAACAATAAAAGGTGAGAGTTAATATTACACTAATGAGCCACAAGCATACTGCTGGCTTTTTTTTTATTAACACTAATAAATGAGCTCATAATACTGATCAGAAGTGTTGTGTTTTTTTTCTCTCCACGTATCTCACAAAAGAATTTCAGGTGACAAGTACTATGATACAGATGGTAGAAACAAACAGCTGTGGCCACAAAGATGTTTTGTTAACTGATGATTAATATATTCAGGAAGCAATCACACTATTCATTAGTAAAAGTTTACAAACATTAAAAAGTGCATAACGTTTGAAACCAACAACAACACAAAAATATATATAATATATATACTATATATAAAGAAAGTGTCACCTCCTGTTAATAAAAGAAAACAAATCTTCTGACTTTGTGATTCGTGCTTATGTGATTGCCATGGTTTACTAGTCAGTCACTCTCTTTACTCACCTTACTTGCACAGAGGTGTGGCTGCCCCATTTTGCAGTATTCAACCTTGTGTATGGCCTTGTCTATTGGGGTGGGATGGGGGAAGGAAATCAATCAGCATAGCTACTGCAGAATAGGTTATTAATTTGTAGATATTTTAAGTAATCCCCTGGGTGCACAATCTATCCTGGTATTTCAGTAAAGGTCCAGTTTGGACTGTCATTTTGGAATAGTTGAAATGGGAAAAATCCAGTCTTTTGGGTGCTAGATGCCAAGTCTCTCACTTCCCTTTCCATCTCCTAAGCCACAAGGCTGCTGTAGCAGCTTCTAGCACTTGGCTATACCTGGTGCATCAGTAACAGGCTACTGGTGGTACGAACTTAACAGCCTGATCAACTGAGGCAAAGGCAAGGAATAGAAAAAAGTAGTCCCCCTAGCTGGATTCAGCCCATGATCCACTAGTTGAACTATCCTGCAATCTAAAACTCATTCCAGAACACATAATTGGCAATAAACTATGCCAGTTATTTTCCTGTGTGTAAACAAGGCCCATCTTTAACAATGTGAACCAGGAAAATCTCTAGCACCACGGAATTTGTTTGAATTTTAACCCATATAAGGTTATAAATGTATTCTTAAAACTACCATAACAATAAAATACTTGGACTAACATTTTAAAAAAATATTTTGGCAAAAGATTAAGAAATTGGGAGTAAAATTAGAAAAATGGGGAAGAATAACGTAAAAGATTCAATTTGAGTCTCTGATATGCAACTAACTACAGGCAAGTGGCAAAACTGTATCAAGGACACAAAACACACTGAAGTATTCACATTAACAAATCGTTTTGAAGGCTCACCTAGTAACAAATTAGAGTGTTGCTGAGTCATTTAGGTTTAGGCATAATCAATTTAGCGGTTGACGTTTTAAATCTATCATGTGCACATCACCACATTATGCAAAAAAACAGCCCTTTCAAAACGCGTGGTAGAAAAATTCACAGTAACAGAAATATTCTTCATAAGCAGTTGAGAAGGGGCAGTGTGGAGCATCTAAGTCATACAATACAAAAACCATTGTAAATAACAGAGCTGTAAAACAGATGCGAAGTTCTAAAAACAGTGCTTTCTTTACAGTTCTTTTAATGGGTGAACACTTTGGCCAGAGAATTTTAAATTCTGAGGATCACACAAGCCTTTGCTTAAGATACACAATTAGATCCTCTGACATTTCAAAGGCCATTTGCTACAAGATTTACCTGTTCTACTTTCTAAAAGTGTTCCCATCAAGTAGTCATTATGAAGGGATCCATCTGATGACGCTACCCCAAAAAAATCAATACATGTTCAACCATTGCTAATGACAGAGGTAGAGAAAATTCTGTCTTCTGCCACAGCTTGTACCCCTGTTTTTAGCATTGTGTTGAGTGGGTTCCAGCAGTGAAGACACATGCACTTTCTTTTCCACCAGCTTGCTCATGGAAACAAATTTGTTCCAGCACGCTCTTGTAGTCTGAAAGCATCCAGCAGCTGCTCCAGTCGGTCAAAGTCAGATGTCAGCTTTCTTGCTTTGCTGCCTCCCCTTGGGCCTCCCCGGTTTGCTCGCTTGGATTTCGTTGTGCATCTCCTTCGCCTTCTATAACACACAAGAAAAGAGTGAGTGATCTACCCTAAACCAAAGAGGTCTTGCTCCCAGAACCCCAACTGTTCATCCACCAGTCTCAAAAACAAAGTAAAAAAATTTGAACCTGAAAACATGCATTAAATATGAAACCTTTTACTACTAAGGTAGCTGTACTATGCATCTCAAGAGAATCCTTCAAAAACAAATTCCTACCTGCAATCACCACTATCATTTTAAGTACAGACCTAACATACCTAGAAATGAAAGAATTTAACACACACAGTAGGGTATTTATAAAAGTTGTTCGCTATGATACTATGACAATATAAGAGAAAAAACTTCATTACACAAAGTCTGAGCAGAATTTACTGAAGAGATGCAACTGCAATAAAGAAATAGTGTTATAGCTCTGTTTGTTCTGTGCATCCATTTTCAGCACCATACCCCTCAATGTTCAGTTCAGCTGTCTCACTGCAAACCACAGAATGATCTGAGGAAGAGAAAACATCTTACAGTGGCAATGAGCGGACAACTCATGAATCCTGTCTAAAGAAGGATAAGAAGTGCATTGACAATGGTCTATTAGTACCTATATGCAAAGTATTGTATTTCACCTAAGACCTAACAGGTTCAGACAGCTGGAAACTAAGTGCAAAAAAAAAGTCCTTGAATAGTGGACTAATTAGCTATAGGTACATAATAAGGAATAATGTTAAGGCTAAGTTGTCTCTTGTATCTTGCAAGGGTTCTGAGTAATTTGTATTGAACTGGCTTGATACAGTAGTTAAAGAAGAAAATTCCATGGACTAAGTTGTAAAGAGGTCTAAGTAGAGGTAGTACTGCCTCTTAATATTAATCTATAGATCTTTAGAATAAAGGCAGTGTTCTCAACACCGATATTTATTGTTTCCCCATTTCAAATCGCACTGTACATCTGCAGCTTTATTTTTATTTATAGCACCATAAAAACCTTCTCTTTTCTATATAGAAGAAATGGCACATTGCTAGTGGGAAAAAAAATTCTTTGCATTGCAAAGAACGTTGCAAAAAGCTCAGACATGATAGCTGTGTTTTGTGCATGCACAGAGTATTTAGGTGGCAAAATGTCTCAGAGGGTATTGGTAATTATCAAATTCAACCTGATGAAAAGTTGTATGGAAGGCTGATTAACCTATTAAACAGTGAGGCTTGTTCTGTTTATTATGGGTTGAGTAATAAGTAAAAATTTGTTTTACAAGGCACTTTCTCAGAAAACTCTTTATTTCTCAGTTTTATCTCCCCCTTTACAAAGGATTCCATCAGGGTGGATCTACATGCAATTATTTCCTATTGGAAAGAAATCCCTTTTGCCCAAATTGTCCAAACACTTTCTACAAAATCTCCTACATTTGTTCCGAGACTGCAAAAGTCCAGATGAGTGGAATCTGATTTTTTTTAATGCCTTTTTGCCTCCTCTGTACTCCCTTTATTCTGACTACTAGGAAGTCTTTTATATCCCTCACACCATCTGGGCGGAGAGAGGGAGAGAGGGAGAGAGGGAGAGAGGGAGAGAGGGAGAGAGGGAGAGAGGGAGCGCGCGAGTACACGAGCTTAAAAGTATTTGTGTTTAAAAGAAAAATCATCCTGGACACGAAGCCTAAACATTTCACTACCTAAGTGTTAAACATAGTGCACAAAGATTCAGAGAAAGAGCCGCGCGCAAGCGCACCTTACAATGTATTTGTGTTTAAAAGAAAAATCATCCTGGACACGAAGCCTAAACATTTCACTACCTAAGTGTTAAACATAGTGCACAAAAGATTCAGAGAAAGAGCACTAAGGTTCTAATATGCCACTTATTAAAAGATTTTTCTCAACTCACTGAAAGAACTCACTTGTCTAAATCCATGTAATCTATAATACACTGTCTTGATACTACAGACTTTGTCTTTCTGCTGTCAGAGCTCTCCTACCAAAGGTTTATAGAAGTAATTTTGCTTCTAGGTTCCGAGAATCCCAAACTTGCCTAAAAGCACACTCGAACTATTCTTCCTTCATGACAGCTATAAGCTCTTAAGAGTTATGATTCTCATACAGTATTTTGAAACCAACAGACAGTATTAAAAAAAACCCAAACCAAGTAATATGATACTGTAAGCCATAATACAGTTGTATGAGTTGGTAAGATAGAAACAGTTACTAACGTGCAGCTTTTAATTCATTTTACTTCCTATAACATTACTGACTCTTCAGTGTCTATCAGTATTCCCAATGCTTACATCTAAAACATTTCTACCATGAACTAAAATAACTTTTAATCACAAATTTCTACAATCAGTCTTTCATTCCAGTTCCGTATGACTTCAACACCTCTGCTATCCCCATTTTTTTGTAGATGGTTGGACCATTACAACTTTTACAAGGAAGTCTCCTTTCTACTTCTGCACTGAATCTGTGTTCTGTGGTGTATCTGCAGACACATAGAAAACCAGCAGTTTGTTTTAGAGATTAGACTTGCAGAGACTGGTCCTCATTCTTCATAGTACTTTTTCCTTACTACTTTATTTAGCTACAATCACCTGTAAGATGATCTGAATATAAAGTTTCTTGGAATTGCATTGGTTACCTTGAGAGAGAGTTGTGTAGATGAGCTATCTGCTGATTTCCTTACTAAAATCTTTCTTTTGTCTTTTGTCTTACGATTTCTGTTGCAGTTTTCTACTTACCAGATGTACAGTGTTGCATTTACTAGATTTAGATAAAATGCATTGCCACAGAGTACTTGGAACCTATATTTTGAAGTTTGGTATATATGTCCATTCCATAGATATTAGCAGGTTGTTTGCTTATTATGGACAAAAGCCACTGGAACAGTTGCTTTGAAGGGAGAGTATTATACAGTAATTATATGTATTATACATAATTATGCAGTAAACTCTTGATTATGTTGTTGGCTCATCAATGAGGGGATTAACCAGCATTCACTTCAGGTATCAAATAGTGCATGACAGGAAATGTGGTCTTTGAACAAGGCCTCACTGCCTAGTGCTGTTCAAAGCTGTTCTTGTTCTTTACAGGAAACATATCTGCAGGCTTTTCAAAGTGAATGTACTAAATATTTCTGGGTAGCTTAATTTACATATGTTTTATAGTAGCCTTTTTTTTTATCTGCATTATCCTACTCTGCCATTATTCCATGCAGTTAAAAGCAAATGTACTTGCACTTTTGCAAGAAAATGCATATAGCTGTAACAAGACTAAAAGAAGACTAAAAGAAAAAGAAAAAAAGAATCAAAACTTGATGTCTATATTTGTATAATTATAATTTGTAGTACTTAAAATAGATGGTTTGCCATGCACCTTGACAGAAAGAAGATATAAACCCTAAACATGTGTTTTTCTCTTAATCTTGTCAAATGTGATGCATATATGCATCCTGCAAGCACGAGTATATTCTGAACCGGAATTTGGGATGCAAAATAATTTTTAGCCTCTCTGGTTTGAAAAGACATGATTGGGTAATACACTAGTACTCACATGAACGAAATTACGTGCATTTTCCAATATTTGTGGTTTGGAGGCTTTTATCCAGCACCTAGGTGTACTATTAATACAAAATTTAAATATATTTTCATTGTATCTAATTCAAACTGCAGAAGTATTCAGGCATTTTTGTGTATCTACTACCTAAGTAACTTTTATGAGCGACTGTACACTTTTCTGCAATGATTCAGTTATGCAAGCTGCAAAACAGGTCTCCAAGAAAAACTAGACTCCTGAATTATGTATTAAAAATTAGGCTAACAGTTATTTAAACCACTGTCATCACTACACAGCTAACTGCATGTACAAAATGCATACCAACATGTATTACAGGCACAAAGTCACATTCTTTTTACAGCTCACAAAAGAACACAGTTCTGGCTTATAATCACTCCAACAGCTTAACTTAAAAATACGGATTGTTTGTATCTTCTAAACAGACAAGATCAAAGACAATTTTGGTGTGTAAATTTGAGACTGAAAAAAATTAAAGCAAGAAGGTTGGCATTACACTTTTCACATGCCACCTACTTTATATTTTTCCAACATTTTACACATATCCCCACATTAAAATAGACACACCTACACACATACAAATAAAGCCTTTATTTTTTAAACAGAAAAAAATTAAAGGCCCTGCTCAGCTGGAATTGCATGCATCTAGAAGCTATAGGCCCCAAACTGGCAACCGCAGAAGAAATGCCTTAGGATGTACATTAGTCTGACAGAAAAAAAAAAAAAGAATCCCCCGCTCCAAACAGCACTACAGCCACCGAAATGTCACGCTGCCCACATCTGGTTGTCCAGTGATGAGGCTGCCTCTCACAAGTCTTGCCATTGTCTCTGAGAAAAATATGTGTGCAAACAGGGCAGGTGCTTATCAACAGTTTGTTCTTGGCCACATTTGTTTTCTTCTGCTATTGTTAAAATAAACATAAGACCTCTTTCTGAAGATCTGAAAAGGGCCTTCAAATATCTGTAAGACCCATTCATTAACACCCACCCATGTAACACGAAAATGATTACACAGCCATATTACTATTTTTATTTCATGTAAGGCCCTTCAGCATACATCATCCCTCCTTCCTCTCAACTGAAGGTGCACAACCAGCTAAAAATTTTGGTAATACTAGAGGTGAAGTAAGATTAAGGATTGCATTAGTGCTCATCACCTTAAAAAAAAGGACAAAATATCATCAGAAATTAGAAAGAGACAATTTACCCAGAAATGAAGATCCAAGTAAAACAAACAATACATTGCTATTTGCTCTGTCCTCCGGCAGCTGAAAACAAAATTAACCTGCACAATAACCTTTCAAGCAGACACATAGCTTCTCCTACAGGCTTCAAGCCAGAAAGCTTCCATTAAAGGATATTACAAAGAGTTGGGTCTTAATAACGACTTGATTTTTTCCACAAAATTTATCCTGACATGGATCCTACCACTAGGCACTCACTGCAGAGTGACTTTTCTTTTACTGAGTAATACGTTGTACTTGCAAATAACCAACCCCTCCTATTTATGAAATCCAGGCTTCATATTGCAGGCTGATCAGAAAAAAATATTTTTATTGCTGAGGGAAAGGGAATAATGCATGCACATAAACAATGTTTTGTGTACTACTCTTTTCATTGTAGTTTTAAACAAACATAATAAGAGACCAAAATGTACTCACCTGCTTTGTTTATATCAAGCTCTGATAACTTTAAGGCTAGTTCACTAGAGTTCCCACCCGGAGAGGACACAAGTATGTCATGTAACGCATTTCTTCTACCTGTCCTTCCTGAAGCAATAAAGTCTGCATATGTAGATTCCACATCAGTCATTGCTAACAAATATCCACATAGCAGTACCTGGAAGGGAGAAAAAAAAAAACACAACAAAACCCCCAACACTTAGTCCACCAGAAAAACAGATGACGTTATGGAATAGGAATAGAAGAACTAGAGGGTTCTCATGTGGAGGAGACTGACTCAGCGGTAAGCAGCAAAAGATGCCACCTCAGTCTCAAAATTTGGAGACGTTAGAGAAGAAACAGAGTACAAAACAAAAAAAAGGTGTGTGGACTTTATGTAATCTTTATTCAACAGTATTTTAAACAACTTGATTTTTCATACTTCATAAAGTGCTAGTGAGTACTTTATAAAAGCAATGACCTCAGCAACATAATTTCTTTATAGAGCTGTCTCTGCTTTTAATATTAGCTGGGAAGTAGGTGGTAGGCAGGGGGTGGAACAAAGTTCTTTTCTGCACAAAAAGCCAAGTGTAAGGGTAAGAAAGTACAAATTGATAATGCTTTTGCATGCAGAACACTGTGCTCATACACAGGCACAGCTATGTTTTGTGTTAATACTTTCTGTTAACATGATTAGTTTTGGCATTGTACATAGACCTCTTCAGACTCAACTAATTTATTTTGGTGTGGTAGTTGCACCAAAGCTAATGCATTACCATGTCACTGAAACAAGTGGAGACATGCTAACAGAGCAAGCAGAATAGCTAAACTATAATGCAGAGGTTAGAAAGCAGTGCTCTGTAACCTAGATATAAACTCAGAACTTCTTTTCATTAGAAAATAATTATTTCTCATGTTATTATGGAATAATGAGATGATGTGCATTAATGTAAGATCTGCCAAAGATACACGGAAACTCCTATTGCAACCTCAGTAGGAGAAAGATGTACGCCTTTGCTGGAGTATATGCTATCGATCTAACCTGTTAGGATTTTCAGTCTTTTTTTTAATTTATAAAATTGTAACCCCAGAGGGGATGATGGAACAGAGGAAGAGGTGCTTTCTCTTGCTGATCACGCTGCTTTTACTGTATTTGTACTCATCTAAGGTTTCCTGCAAAAAGCTAGGCTACCATGATTCAAATGTAGCTTCCCTCATTTTTTATATTTGGATGTAGTAGGGCAATGAGGGAAGCTTTCTGCTAGAGCAGTACTCCAAAGAAAAGAAGCACTAAGGAACCACTAAACAAAACCAGCACCCCCACAGTTGTATGCTTCCTTCATTTCTAAGGAGTATTTCTGTGGTTTTCCATGCTGCAGAGAGAGGGCATGGCTGTAAAGGCAACATTGCCCAGTTGCATACAGTGAAAAGCTTTAGCTATCAGCTGAAACTTCACATTTGCATAGAGTGTACAAATCTTTTTAATCAGTTCCTACTGCAGCTTCTGGACACTGAAAAAGCCCCTTAAGTCATCACAAACACTAACAGCAGCAAAAGATTCAGCTTTCTGTCTTTAAATAAAAAGGAAAAACCTCATTTTTTATAAACACTTTTTATTTTAAAAATAGATACATAAAAGACAAGAGCCAATGCTTCCCCATCCTCAACACTGAATAAATTCACAAACCCTGTCCATTCTTCATCTTCATTCTAGTACTTACTTCCCCAACTTCAGTCAGCTGCATGAGGGTGTACATATGATATATATAAGAAGCCAAGAAAATGGGTTCTGCACCATATTTTATTTAGTCTAAATATAACTATATCAAGTATCATTGCAAGACTGGCTGACTTAAAAAGAAGATCATTGCTATCAAGCTTTGGTGTCCCATGCCAAATGCTGTATGGCTGACAGGATAATTTTACTGCTATGAACAACCACTATGAAACAGGAAACTGCTTTAAAAAAAAAAAACACAACAAAAACAAAACCCAAAAAACAACCACACCCAAAAAACTCCAAACCAACCAAAAACCCACCAAACCAACCCACAAAACCTAACACCAAACACCTAGTGAATGGAAAAAAAATCAGCATTGCCTGAGAGCCTGCCTGACACACCTAAAATAGTGTAGTGCCTCTCAATGAAAAAAATGCTTTCATGAGCATGAAACCCATGAAGTTCCCCCTTCTTGAAACACCACAAGGATACTGAAGCAAATGAGAAGTCTACCATTTGTTCTTTGCCCAAGGAGCACACATCGCAATGCCATGTATATCAACCACATGGTAATGAAGCATATAACTTGCAAAGGTGAAAGGAAACAGTGAGGACAGTTGTGATAAGGTAAGAAAACAGCAGAAGTTTTCAGACTTATCAGACCTGCTCATTGAATAATATCATCCAGCAAGATCAGGAGATTTTAAGTTAACTTCCATGAGTCATATTTGTTCATGCCTGTTATTGCAACTGGCCTGTAGAAAAGGAAGTGCAAAACCTGAAAATAATCAATATACAGGCTTGGATTTTGTTATTAGTGTAGCACCAGTCCAAAGTCGTCATAGCTATCACTCCTGACAAGACATTAATTTCATTTTCGCATAGTAAAAACACAACAGAGAAGAATATTCTTCTGCTACTTTGGAAGCTGCATATCAGTGCATCAGAAACAGAATAGGCAGAGAGGTCTATGACTGAGGTGGAACAAGCTATAGGGCTGTAAGGCTGGCAAAATGAGCAATGTTGTACTCTATTAGCAATTCCCTGGACTGTACACACTGCACTCCACAGAATACTCTTCTGTAAGTTTATATTCTTCTTGAAACATTCCATAAAACATTGACAGCACCAGGGGAAATCTCAAGCTTATTTAATTTTAGCTATAAAACAAGCTATAAAGCCATAGGAAAGTGTGCTTGTGGAGAATTTTATTTTAAAGGTTCACTTTCTATAGGCTCAATATGGCATTACTAACAACATTCTGATCCAAAAAGAATGTTATCAAACATACATTTATTAACACTTCCAAGTTTTACTGTCTGCATCTTCTCCTAAATATCAAACACCATTCTGTTTTGTATTGGCATTATCTGGAGACATTACTGCATAAATACGGAACTCCACTCACATCATCCGAGAGCTCCCCTTCCAACGAATGGCTGAGTGCCCAGTCTGTACTTACTCACTGAACAGGCATTAAGGAATTACCATTCACTCCAAAAAACCTTTTCTTCTTCAGTCTCTGTGAAAGGAGTGGAATTTGCTAATAATTCTGTGAAATATAATTTGAATTTCCTAACTAATTGCATTAACAGATATTCTTGTGTTAAAGATTGTGGTTGCAGTCCCTCTAATTCTACTAATTTTTTTTTTTTTTTTAAAGTTGCAAAAACAGTACTCTGCTATGTGGCATTGAACTGAAAGAAGGCGGCTGCAAAGCTCACTGCTTCTGCCAACTGAGCCAGCAAACTAAAGCAAGCAGTACTGTGAGCATAAGGACTAATGAAACCTGCTGTCGCAGGATTGGATTCCGTGGTAACTGATAAGGTACTATTCCCATCCAAAGTCTTCCCCAGCTGTGCTTTGTCTTTCCCCTCATGTAGAGTTACTTTGCCTGATAATCAGTTAAGAGTTTGCAATACAGCCCTGGGGATTTTCATATGGCATCTTTCCTTTTCTCAGCTTCCTAGTTTCATAAAACTTCTAGAAATACGGGTATCTTAGACTTCTGTCTCTTTCCCCTCCCAACTCCTTCCTCCCAAAGAAAGTTGTGCTGAAAATTAGTTGAAAGCACTAAGAATTATGGAGGATGAGGAAGGTAGATAGGCATAGTTCCTATCTTGGATTTTAGCCAGTGTAACAAGACATTTCTGTTATTAATGAATATTCTGGATAACATATACTGCTACACCTGCAGAAGGCCTACTTCAATATCCTATGCAAGTAAAGTTTCACAGGTAAGCATCATAAGGAGTAGAATTAGTGTCCAGAGAATGCAGGAGGAGAAAAGAAGGATGGCAAGAAGAGTACAAATTAATAGGTACAGAAAGAATGAGTATTTGTGTTTTCAGAAGGTTCCTGGAATATTCCTTGATCTCCACAATCCAATTTCTGTGTTAAATTTCCCATTTCCACGTTATATACAACATATCCCCCAAGTTTCTAAAGGTAACTGTCAGATTTCACAGCTCTTCTTCTTCTACATACTTCAATTTTATTGAAATAACCTTTTTAAAAAAAACTAAAAAGTTAGTGATGGCTTCACAAATGACATCCCAATTTGACTGCATTCCATAATCATTCAGTGAAACCAAGTGTTAAACAGCACCATTGTTCTCAAGAGTTTGGAAGTGAAAGTACAGAAATTATGTGGCATACCAGCCTGAATTAAAAATCAGTGTCTATAGTTTAGAGGCTACAAGTACCTAGGGTTGTTGAATTTAGCCTGTTTAAGGGACTACCTACTTAAAAGAAGCCCAAATGCATTTTAAAGTACCTTCACTAATTGGTATTTATTATTTGAAAAAGAAGAGAGACTAAGAACAGGCGCTTGACACATGGCTTGTCTATGGGACTTGGCGTATGTTGCTGGCTAGCACAGGACACCTGTCATTTTCTTGGCAAACCTGCAGTGTAAGACTAAGAGGTACGATCCTTCAATGTTTACTCCCCCTCTTTCTCCATATATGCTTAATAATGGCATTGAATAAGGGATTTTCAAATAAAACTCTCCCAGGCTTTGGTTGCTAAATGTTGTATCACGATCAGCACATTATTTAAATATAATTATCTATATTCAGCTTTCATAACGGAACAAAAGAGAGAACATGTCATTTAATAGCATGTCTGTTTTAAAGAAGATGTATAATTATGCTTTTAAAATAAATTTTGGTTCCAAATCTAGCCTTATCTTAGAGACAGGGCTCTTTCCAGTGAGGAGATAGCTCTATTCCACAGCAACCTCTACCTAGATTCCCACCTCACGTATGAGCTGCTATACTGAAAGCAGAAACAGAGGAACAATTTAACAAAAGTATACTTCTTCCACAAGAGATTATATCTTTAGTATAAAGATTAGATTATATCTTTTATACAATAGTATTGCTTTTGCACAGACACAGATGAGCAAGAAAATAGCATTAACTCTTGAAAGCGAATTAAAGAAAATGTAAG